CTATCAAATGAATTGGCCATATATGGGCCTACAGGTTAATGTTCTCAAATGAACTCAGCTTAAAGACATTGATGGAAAGAAAGAAATGGGAACTGATTCAGTCAGTGATTTTTAAAAGTTCAGCTGTGCTCTGAGGCTGAAGCACATCAGTGCTATGACCCACAAAAGAACGGTTAACCTTGTTCATCTCAAAATCTTTCTTTAGTTATCTCTAGAAGACATTTTCTATTTTAAGCTGCAAAGCCTTCTGCAAAATATCTGGCCATGGAGTTTATGAAAAGGACTCAGACAAAATGATGTGTTTGGTCTTATCTTAATAATACATACTATCCTGAGGCTCATTTGAAGTTGGTAAATAGAAATATGTATTTCCAAAAGAGATTTTGGTATATATACCTATATGAGAAATGTGGAAATTTTAAATACTTCTGAAGTATAAAATTATAGCTCATTACTTATCAAAGTATACTGAAGACAAGAAATGTGACTGATGCTTTTTACCCTTTACTTTGAAACTATATTGCATGGCTTGGCCCATACTTCTTGTTCTTCCACTTAATATAACAGTAACATAAATAATCTGATAGGACTCTTGACTTCACTGCCCATTCATGTATAATGAATCACATAATTTTGCTTAATTGCTTTTCCATCCCCACTAGACTCTAAGCTCTAATGATAGTTTCTGAATTTTTATATAGATGGGCTTGGGGACAGCAATCCATTTGAAGGGAAGGGGTGTGTACAGGCTTGAAGTTTTGTTTTCCCAATGCTAAAATAATTATGAAAAATCAAAATAATGAGAGGGTAGGTATGGGGTTAGTTGAGATTGGGGTTTAAAGTACCCCTCAAACTACACCTTAGCTTATGGTGAGCTCCTGAAAGGCAGGGTCTGTGTCAGCCTTGTTATCCCCAGTGCCAGGCAGTGTGATTCAGCTGTATTCTCTAAACACTTGCCGAATGACAGAATTACCAGAATCCATTCATATTTGCCAAAAGTAGACACTTAGTAACTTGCTACATGAAGAAGTGAGTGCTAATCTTTGTTTTCCTGATTGTAAACTTCCTAAAAGAGGAATGACAGATTTTTTTTTTCAACTTGAGAGACCCAATTGTGTAGACAGTCCCATTTCCCCCCTTTCTGGCATAAGCTTCATGCAGTTTTTTGTTGTTGTTGTTGTTGTTGTTATGTTTTTTTTTGAATCAATTTCCTCTCTGATTTTTTTATTTTTATTTTTTTTTGAGATGGAGTCTTGCTTTGTTGCCCAGGCTGGAGTGCATTGGCATGGTCTCTGCTCACTGCAACCTCAGCCTACCAAGTTCAAGCGATTCTCCTGCCTCAGCCTCCCGAGTAGCTTGGATTACAGGTGCTGACATAGTCGATGGAGACAAGAGTCTTCATAATGCAGGTTCAAAATCACAGGATAGAACAGGCAGTAGAGTTTAGTGGTTGTGAACATGACCTTTGGAGTCAGACAGACCTAGGTTTGGGCCTTAGTGTCCCTACTTCTTACTCACTGTGTTACCTTAGGAAATTACTTAATCTGTAAGTCTCAATGTCCTCATGCATAAAATGTAGGCGATAATTGTATCTATATCATAATCGTTGTGACAATTCAATGGGAGTGCTCAATAAGCCTTTAGCACATAAAAAACCCGCAGTAAAATGTAGCCATTATTCGTTGTTACTGTTATAATTAATAATGAGAATACTTACATAAATATCTTGATTAGAATTTATGAAGCAGCCCACCTATACAAGGAGCACATTTCTTTTTAAATTCTAAAAATGCATATGAACATTGAAGTAAAAATTCAGGCAGTATGAATGTGAATAAAATAAAAAGACTTTGTTGCCCTACAAACTTAACCAGAGGAAGCCACTAAAACTTGTTTTAAGATTAATTTTTATGCAAAGTATGTGCCAACATTCATTGAGATGATTTATCAACTTTAAGCATCAAGTGTTTTTATGGCTAGAGTCAGTTGACTTCATGCCATAAAAATTGGTGAATGTCACCTGCTTATACATATTCTTCTTTACCCTCACCCACACCCATTAGGGCTATTATATTTTAGCTTTTCAATTGATTACTTTTGTAGCTTTAAATTATTTACATAAGTCCTATTTATTTGTCTGTCAAACATTAGGCAAAAATCCTCTATCCCCGCTATACTAAGAGGAAATTAGCACTTCTGTCCTTCTTTCCGATTCCCCTTCCCCTACACCCAACTCCCAACTATCGTCAGCTATGTTATTACTTTTCTATTGTCAAGATATGTCAGATTTATATTCTGTCTGGTAATTCTCTTTATATCTTCTCTCTTTTATGGGTTGATTCTGAAAAAGGAAAATCAATAAATAATTTTTATAATGTTATGATTATATAAATATTCTCTGCAGTACCAAATTGTATGCTCGAACCTATAGAGAAGACAAAATCTTAATGTGGCAAAGCTTGTGTTGTTCAAAAAAACCATTCTAAGTATAAAACCCAAATAGATTTTAATGTTTAAAAATCTTATCAATTTTTCAAAATCATGCCACTGTTTCTTTGGTCAACAAACTTTTCTACATTTGTTTGTTTCTCCTGTTATTTCTAATTCTTTTTCTTTTCTTTTTTTTTTAAACATGAGAAAGACATCATATCTTAAGTGTGTTTAGCTGCTTAATCACAATATTTAATGTACGCTAATCATATTAGGTACATATTAGGGCACAGGGGAAATAAGCTTTGTCAGTTATTTTATGTCTGAAAATATCTGTCTTCCCCCCACATTTTGTAGGATGCCTTAGTATTGGATTTCAGATTTAAAATTAATTCCTCTGAATTTGAGGCTATTGCTGGCTATCTTATAGTGTTGAGTGCAATAGATAATGGATCTGATGCCATTGTGGTTCTCATTCCTGTGTAAGAAATCTGTTTTTTGTTGGTTTGTTTTATCCCGAGGAAGGACTTTTGGAACTTTTGCTTTGTCTTTGGGATTTTTAATTTCCCAAGGATTTGTTCATGTCTTCTGTGTGGTTCTCTCTGGGACTCTCAGTATGAGGGCCCAGGTCTTTCTTCAGTTCTGGGAGATATTCTTCAGTTATTTATTTGATTATTTCATCTGCATTTCTTTTTCTGGTCTTTCTTCTCAGAACTTTTATTTGATGAAAGTGTGTTATTGAAGATTTATCTCCTATGTTTCAACTTTTCTTTCATATTTTTGGTATCTTTTTGTTTTGATTCTGCAATATGTATATATTTATTAAACATATTTTTACTTTTCAAGAGCACTTTGTTTTCTCTTTCCTTAGTGTTTTGGAGGGTGTGCTATCATCTATCATCTCAAATATCACTGGGAATATTAAGTAGTCTTCTTTCATATTGGGTAGATTGTTTTCCTTGCTCACGTTGGTCCTTCTCTTTTGGATTGTTGAGGCTCCACAGACACTGTTAATGCTTGATTGTTCAGATTTATGGATAAAGAGCAAAGTTGATCAGTATAGGTAGCCGATGTGGGTTTTCTTTATCACTGTGATGAGACACTGATTTTAAAAAAATCTTAAATTAAAAATTTTTTTTAGAGACAAGGATTTGCTCTGTTGCCAAGGCTGGAGTGCAGTGGTGCAATCATAGCTCACTGTAACTTCAGACTCCTGGGCTCAAGCATCCTCTTGTTTCAGCCTTCCAAGTAGTTGGGGCTACAGACATGTGCCACCATGTCTGACTAATTTTTATTTTACTTTATTGTGGAGATGGGGTCTTGCTATATTGCCCAGGCTGGTCTCAGATGCCTGGCCTCCAGTTATCCTCCTGCCTCAAACTCCCAAAATGTTGAGATTACATATATGAGCCACCACACCTGGCCAAAAAAATCTTTCTGTAATTAAAAAATTAATGTGAACCAAGATAAGAAAACTAAAAGTAAAAAGGATATATAATAAAAAGTAAATTTTTGTCTTATCCAAAATTACCAATTTGTCAGAAATCCAACTAAACCACTGTTACTAGTTTCCTTTGTCTTCTAGAATATCTCTAAGTAAATAGAGAAATATACATTTTCTTGTCTGTCTGCCTGCCTATCTATCTATAGCTATCTATCTATCTATCTATCTATCTATCTATCTATCTATCCATCCATCCATCCATCCATCTAAGTACGTACACATTTTGCAAAAAGTGGTAACATGCTGTATATATATTTTAATTTTTTTGTAAAACAGTTTATCTTGCAGAGCATTTTGTTTGTGGCTATATTATTCTTTATCATGGTTGCAGAGTTTTACACTGAGTGGATGTGCTAGAATTTATTGAACCATTCTCCTATTGGAGAGAAATTAGATCCCATCTAATCTTTTGTATTACAGACGTTACTGCACCAAATATCCTTATACAGACTTGTTGGCATTTATTTGTACATATATTTGAAAGAGAAATATCTGAGTCACAGGGTATGCATATTTGAAGAATAGGTTAAAAAACCTGCAATTCATATTATATTTAACTTCTTGAATATGTAATGCACACTTATTGGACAAAAACCTTGAATGTACAAAAGAATATAGTAAAAATTAAATATCCTTTTGAACACTTCTTTGACTATTTGCCCCCTCTGCTGCTCTTCTCAGTCTCAACTATTGTTATGTGTGTGAGTCTATGTGTGTGTGTGTGTGTGTTTGTGTGTGTGTCTATGTCTGTGTATTTCCTTTTTGGGTTAAATTCTTATAGCTGAGTGAAAGCCTTGGGAGGTGTTCCTTTTTAAAAGTGAGTACATATTTTCTGTGAAGGGTTTTCAAATTTGACTACTTTTAAATTGAGCTGTTTGACCTGCCAAGAGTGTGCCATGAGACGGGTCCTGAGAGTTCCTTCTATGCCTCCTTCCTTCACTGCAGCTGACTGAGCCCCACATTCTATCTGTATGCCAAGGATTTTTCCAGGGACACACTTTGTCCTTACCAGTATCAGAACAGAGCAGATACTTATGATTTTATAATCTCTACTTCTTCCTTCTAGTGTTGGAATCCATGGCACATGACAATAATAAAGAGATGACGCTTGGCTTCTTTGGTCCTCTCTTCAGCATTATAGAAGGTAAATAGTGCAGTTAGGTTTTTGCATGACAATATAAAGAGGCCAATGTTTGATGTTGGGCAGCTTTCTGTGCAGAACATTGTAATTGCTGAAAGCTGTTTGTCTTCCTACTTTTTCATTACTATCATTTTTGTTCAGTTCCAGTGCCTTTTACAAGCTTTCATTTCTCCGTCTTCAAATAGTCTTGGTATATCAAGTTTATAATAACACTGATCTACAGAGAGGCATATGCCCCTTATTATAGCTCTAAAAGAGAATGATGTCACCAAGGAAGCATAGCTTTTGCACTGAAATCCTCAAAGACGGGTAGTTTATTTTATTAATTTCCATTGTGAGCTTTGGTGAACAATGTGGAGGTTTACATTAGTAAATAAAGCATGACTGGGTAGTAAAATGTTATTGGGATTTTAAAATCAGAAGATCTGGGAGTGAAAACCATCTGTATTTGTGAAAAGTAGTTGAAAGAGATTTAGTTTTGATGGTATGATATGTGTGACCTTGGGAAAGTCAAAATAATATCCTTGGGCTTTGATTTCCTAATTTGCAAATGTTCACAGGATTGTTATATGGATTAAAGAGATAATATAAGCAAAGTACTTTGTCAAGTGCTATGAAGTGTTATGTAATATTATAATCATAATGTTAAAGTGAGAAATGGGCAGGCTTATTCAACTCAACAGGAATAATTTTCATTAAAGCTTCCAACATTGCACATCATACTGGAGTTGCAGCTTCAGAAATGTTGTGTTTTTATAACTCAGTAAGTGGAGAATAAGAAAGGCCGTACTCTTTTTTTCTGGATGGGGCATCTCAGTGATTCAGATTCTTCTTGGTCTTAATAAATGTTGCAAGCTGCCCATTAGGATTAGAGCATAGGGTAATGTATTGGTCTGTTCTCACACTGCTTATAAAGACATACTGGAGATTGGGCAATTTATAAAGGAAAGAGGTTTAATGGACTCACAGTTCCACATGGCTGGGGAGGTCTCACAATCATGGTGGAAAGCAAAGGAGAAGCTAAGGCACATCTTACATGGCAGCAGGCATGAGAGCTTGTGTAGGGGAAATTCCCTTTGTAAAACCATCAGATCTTGTGAGACTTAATCACTATTATGAGAGCAGCATGAGAAAGACCTGTCCCCATGATTCAGTTACCTCCCACCAGTTCCCTCCCATGACACGTGGGAATTATAGGAGCTAGAATTCAAAATAAGATTTAGGTGGGGACACAGCCAAACCATATCAGGTAGGTATACAGGTATAGAGGGAGACAAGGCCAGAAGGACTTATGAAGCCAAACTAGAAAGGTCTGGAATGCCAACCCAAAGGAGTGTGGGTCTTAATTGTTGGGTACTGCAGATCTATGGGGCTGTCACTTTGGGAGAGTGTTGTAGCATATAGAAAGATGACAGCAGATGTGGTGAGATGATAAAAAGTCCTTCAGAGGCAAAGGATCCACAAACATATCCATCTGGAAGTATAGTTCTCCTCAGTATCCATGGAGAATTGGTTCTAGGACCCCTGCAGACTCCAGAATCCACAGATGTACAAGTCCCTTGTATAAAATGGCATAATATTTGCATATAACCTACCAACATTCTTTCATATACTGTAAATCATCTCTAAATTACTTATAATACCTAATACAATGTAAATACTATGTACATAGCTGTTATACTGTAGTTTAAAATTGGTATTTTTTTAATTTTTAAAAATTATGTTTGATCCATGGTTGGTTGGATCTGTAGGTTCTGCATCCTAGGTACAGAGGGCTGATGATAGCTATGAAAGCAGGAGACTGTTTGGTGTGTTCCCCAGGTGGGGACATGGGTCTCCCTAAATTCATACAAAAGACACTTTGGATTCTCCTGGCTGAATTCTCACTCACAGAAATAGATTCAGCAGCAGCAGAGCCACTTCTGTGGGTGAGAATTCGGCCAGGAGGTAGAAGCTTACCCTTGCATTCTCAGGGGATTTTATAGCCTCCTGGCCACCTGCCTGACTGTTCAGAAGACTCTGGCTGTAGCCCCACTTGCTCAGCAGGCTCAAGAAACTATTGCCAAACAATCTCAGCACATCCCTGATTCTTTAATGGAGACACTGGGTGGTAGAGTGAGGTACCTCAGCAGACTCAGGCTGTAGGTCTCTAAGTCTATTCCTGTAGGGTGTGAGAAAGTTTGTAAGAATGAAAACAGACAATCCCAGAGCGCAATGCACTGATTGAGGAGGAGGCTGGGAGCAGGGAGATTGCTGAGAACCACTGCCATGGGCCAAGCATGAAGCAGCAATGTCTTAAGTTGGAAGGTGGTAGTGGACATAGGAAGACACAGGCAGATGGCAGAAACAGTGTGAGCACGAAGACCCACTATTATCTATAAAGGAGAAACTAGAGGGAGGAGTCAAGGATTGTGTCAGGATTTCCTACTTTAATGGGTGGGAGAATGAAAACATTGTTATACAGTAATGGAAAATGAGGGCAGTTGGACACACAGAAGTAAAGTTCGCAGGGTATGCAGAGTTAGGGAGATAGGAAACAGATTCGCAAGGTTTCCATTTAGAAGCCATAAGAAAAGTCTTGGTGGTAGGAAGTTCTTCACGTTATACTACAGTGAAATAAACATTTTACTTTCATGGAAAAGTTTATTTAAATGATCCAAGATACAATCTGAGAGAGGAACTTCAGCAACCTGTGCTGGCTCAGCCAGTTCCCATTCCTTCCTGTAGTCCCACCGCAAGCATACATCAGAGCACTCAACAATACTCGTTGAATGAGTCAGTGGAGCTGCCCTGGCTGGCAGACCTGGAAAGCAGCAATTCGCGTTAGGTGGAACACATCAATTTTGAGTAGTCACTTAGACAACATCTATACCAGTGGCACTCATCTTTGCTGCATGTTAAGAGTCACCTAAAGCCGGGCGCGGTGGCTCACACCTGTAATCCCGGCACTTTGAGAGGCCGAGGCGGGTGGATCACGAGGTCAGGAGATCGAGACCATCCTGGCTAACACGGTGAAACCCCGTCTCTACTAAAAAAAATGCAAAAAAATTAGCCAGGCGTGGTGGCGGGCGCCTGTAGTCCCAGCTACTCGGGAGGCTGAGGCAGGAGAATGGCGTGAACCTGGGAGGCGGAGCTTGCAGTGAGCCGAGATGGCGCCACTGCACTCCAGCCTAGGTGACAGAGTGAGACTCCACCTCAAAAAAAAAAAAAAAAAAAAAAAAAAAAAGTCACCTGAGGGGCTTTTAAATAATCCTGAGGCTAGGATATAGCTCAGACCAATTAAAACCCGACCCCTTTCCCAGATGATTTTATTGTGCATTCAAGGATCAGAAACACTGCCACATCTCTTCCTTTGCATGCAAAGTACTGTTGGTGCTTATCTTAAACAACATTGTCCTCTGAAAAGGTGCCCCCGTGGAGTTCGTTTTCCAGGCTTTCTCTCCATATGAACCTCCCACACGTGTGGCTGACTGCATCACCAAGGTAGTGTAGAAAGGTGCAGGAAGTAAAGAGGAGGAAGAGGAACTGGTGAAGGAATAGTCAACGAGGGAAGAAGAGAAACAGGAAAACACCATGTCCTGGAAACCAAGAGAGGGGACTTCTAGGAGTGTCAGTCACTGATGTGAAGTGCTATGGCAATTTGGGGATGGTAAGGACTGAGAAGGAGCCAGAGAGGGCTGCAGTGAGTTTCAGCATGGTGGTGTGACTGGAAGCTGGACTGCAAAGCAAGTAAGGAGTAGGACTCTGAGGACACGGAGGTAGCAAGGGTAGGCAGAGGCAACAGACTGGGTGACCACGGGCCTCACAGATGTGCTTTGATTGAGGTCCACAGAGTGTTCAAAGATTTTTAAAAATTAGTTATCAACATTTACAAATTGGGAGGTTTTATATAAACCACAACTTCCGATTTCTCTTGAAAAACTGGGAGATCTGACAAAACTAGGACTTTGTTCTGTCTTGGCACCAAAAGGAATTGGTTGTCCACCTTAGGAATGACATCCTTTCTCCCCACTCATCACACAATCTCCATGCCCGGAAGTTATCCTTTAAACCCAGTTCACGTATCTCACTTGCATGACCTCCATGGCTTCGGTAGGCAAGTGAATTTGAGACTTGGACTTGATCCAAATAGCTGTTAGGTGGTTTGTGAGAAAGGAAAAGAGAAGTCCTGATCACCTTTGTATGATGGGGGGAATAGGCAGAAGGGAAGATGGAATAAAGGAAAAGCTTCTCAAGGTTAATTTGGAACAGGAAGGACCCATAACTGGGGAAGAAGTAGAGAATGCATGAAGACATAAAGAGATTTTGGGGAGGAGAGAATGGAAATGAAAGCCTGTTAGTGGCAGTAAAATGAGTGAATCACTGCAAGTTAGGTGGGAGATAGCACTGAAGTCTGAGCAATATGAAAAATATTTGGAACAATCAGAATAGGAACTAATGAAAAGAAAAACTTGGGGGCAGTTGGTGGGGTGGAAGGAACTGAGTACTGAAGAGAACTGAGTACATAAAGATTTCAGATGACTTATTTAGAAGCAGATTTTTCTTATTTATTTGGAGACAAGAATTTTAAAGTAGAAAATTTTCTAGCTTTTGGAGTTATGTTATTTTTAAAACCAATCTTTTTCAAATATATAATTTCAAGGGCACTAAGGAATAAATCCCATATAAATCATTCATAGTATAATGAAGCTTAATTATCACTCAATTGTATGTTGCAAAGTTTTCTGTTTCATTATTTTTCCAATGGTAGTACAATTTTTATTAAATCATGCAAAGGAATGGTTTAAAAACACTTGTGCCAAAGTATTCAAGTGTTGTGGTTCAATGCCAGTATTTATGTTTGACTGACCCCTTTCAGATAACGGAAAAGCAATTTGTTTTTATTGAATGGAACAAATGTTTGTTTGTTTCTTAGAGAATTTTTTTTGTTGTTATTCAGGTCTACTTATTTTTAGAGATGGAAGGCATTATATATAGTTGAAATGGTGTTGCATTAAAATTAT